TGGGTTTTGGTGTTTTTTAAACCTCCTTTTGGATTCTGGGTGTCCTAGAGCATGGAAACAGTTGAAATTGCTTTATCTTTGGCATATAACTTCTGTTGTGTAGAGATTTGAGAGTTTGTCAGGATCAGAGAAAAATATCTCAGCATATATATGTGTGAGTGTGTGTGTGTGTGTGTGTGTGTATATATATATGTATGTATGTACATATGTATATATGTATATACCTCACTGAGGTCTCAGTTGTCAAGAGATATTGCTGCAAATCCGATACAGTAGGAATCGTTGGAATGCATGCAGTCAGATCAAAGAACCTACCCTGTTATCCTTAATTAGAGTGTGGAATATATTCACTTACATATTAAGATATCATGAGGCCCCACATTAACTTTTGCCTCATTGGAAGTACCCATCCATCTCTGGAAGTCCTCAGTGTGCCTGTGAGATCCATAGGCTTACCTAAGGTTACTCTTATACAGTTACCCTTGCATTTGACTTTTGCTTGATACTCACACACTAAGAGGGGCTGCACTTGATCTTCTTTTGGAAAAAAAAAAGATTAGTTATTTCTTTCATCTCTAAAACGTTCTCTGTTAGTTTTTCTCTATTCTAGGAAATAGCTTTTTATTCCCCTAGTGATATAGTTGCTATATTTTCTAACCCATTGGAGGCAGTAGTTAACTCAAACCACTATTCAGATCTTAATCAGTCACAGATTTAGGTATTTGAAGATCCAGCATATCCATTACAGTTGATTTTCCTTTGTCTTGGTCTAACATGACCAATAGCCATCTATAACTTTGGCTTAGAGATTGCAAGAGAATCAATAAATGCTGTACAAAAGATTTTCTAGGCCCCCACATTTTTTTCCTTGTCACTTTCCCCTAAGAGAATAATCACATCTTGTCTAGCATATTTTAGTCACTTTAATCTATCAACTCGAGATAATTTAACCTGTATAAATATTTTTCTCAGTTTTCCTGACACATAATTTTATTATTCATAAACATCAATTATTATTTATAAACAACTGAGAATTTTAAGTCAACATCCCTAATGAGTATCAGAGCAAGAATCCATCACCTCCCATAGATTCAATCACTACCTCTATGGAGATGACTCTTTCCTGACATCCTTTTTGTTTCTCCAGCTACTTGACAGATACTGGCACAGATATCAAACATGTGCCAACACCATAGAACACTCAGCAGTGTGGCCAGAACCAAATTAGCATGTAGTTGGGAAATATTTGACAAAAATGATGAAAATACAATAAAACACAGAAAATGTTGTTTTGTAATTTTCTAAGTCAATATGTCACCTGCAAAGGATCCTTACATACGGTTTAGTGGCCCTAGTTTTTATTTAAATTTGGCACCATTGTACTAGACATCTTCATCACCATGTCCTATAGGGATATCAAAGTTGTCGTGTCTCAAAACATGTTTCCCTCTATTCCCCCCTCCCTGCTCAGGTTTCTCATTTTTGTCAAGGACACAATCATTCTTCCAGTCGCCTAGATTTACAGCCTTGAAATAATCCTTGAATCTTCATTCTCAGTCACTTCTCTTATTTAACTAATTGCCAGGTCTGGCTGATTCTACCTCTTTTCCCTACTGTATACCATGGATACCATCTTTCAGGTTTTAATCACTTTTTGCCTGGACTATTGCAACAGTCCTCTATTTGGTCTTCTTGCATCTAGTTCCTACCCTCTCCAATTCATCCATCCTCCACACAACTGCCAAAATGATATTCCTAATGCTCAGCTCTGTTCATGCCATGAAGCTCCCTCTTGCCTCTAGGATAAAAAGAATAATTTCTATGCCTGGCATTCAGAGATCTTCACAGTATGGCTCTGGTCTCTCTTCTCAAGCTGATTATATATTACCCCCACCTCCTACACTTTGTGTTTCAGCCAGACTGGCTTGCTTATTGCCCAAACACAGGACATACCATCCGTGTCTGAGCCTTTAAAATTTTTTTTGTTCCAAACTTAAACACCAAAAATGAGAATTTTTATATACATAGAATACAAAAAGAAGATTGCATATGAAACCACACACATCCGTTTTATGCCCTTAGATTTTAAAAATATTTTTAAATTATAAAAAAATTTACATTTAAAAATACATTGCACACATTACTTCAAGCTAGATTGTCCTACTTCCTTGTGTTTCCTTCTTAACTTCCTTCTGGTCTCTTCTTTGCATTTAAAAAATATTTCACTAATTCTCTTTATTAATATCTTTATTTGTAACTCCCTTTGTCTCTTCTATCCCATCCACAATTAAAAATGGAGAGAGAAAAATCCTGTATAACAAATAAGCAAAACAAATCCAGAGCGGCCATGACCAAACATAAGTCTCTTTTTGTGTTTTGATTCCACTGTGTTCCTGACAGATGGGGGTGGGGCAGGAAGGAAAGGAAAGGAATAAGCATTTATTAAGCACATAACGATGTGCCAAGCGCTAAGCCACATGCTTCACAAATACATGCTTCATCATAGGTCCTCTGAAGAAATGGTTGGTCATTGTTTCGATCAGCATTCTTAAATCTTTCTAAGTGTTTTTTTTTTTTTATGATGTTGTTCTCATTCTAAAAATTATCTCCTGGTTCTGCTAGCTTCCTCTGCATTGGTTCATACTATCCAGGTTTCTCTGAAACTGTCTCTTTCATAATTTCTCATAGTTCAACAATTTTTTATTATAAATTATTTATTGTATCTTACAGGGCAATATTTTTTTTATTGCATTCATATGCTATAATTTGTTCAACAATCTTCCAAATAATAGGTACCCCTTCCCTAGTTTCTGGTTTTCTTTTTAACTCTCCCTTTAGGGTCAGAAAGTTTGCTTTGCTTGTGACTGTTCATTCCTGGTATTATCCTCCCTATTACTAACCTCACACCCTATTTCCCACCTGTTTCTCTGATGAGTTTGATGTATTTCTACATTAAACACTTTGTATGTATGCATGTGTGTGCTTGTGTGTGTGTGTGTGTGTGTGTGTGTGTTTGTTGTATGTGTGCATTCAACTCCACTTTGTGTAATTCAGGAAAGAAAGTGAGGTTCATCTGATGCTCCCTTCCTACATATTTGTACGCTCTCCTTATCTACCAACTTCTACCTCCTTTTTCCTACTTTCTACACTCATGTATTCCTTTTACCTACATTCTCTCTGGAACAGAAGCAGATTCACCCCCAAATCCTCTGATGGTTTTTTTTTAGCTTCCTCAATACACTTTGAAGACATTAAGGTTTTGAAAGGACATTTATTTCTTCTTTCTCTGTTAGAATATTAGCACATCATCATGTAGCTCCTCCTAATTGCTCATACAAATTTACCTTTCTAGGTTTTTCTTGACTTTTATGTTTGCATTTCAAAGTTCTTACTGAACTTTTTTTCAGAGAACATTTTTCTTGGTTTCAAACCTCTCTTTTTCACCTTTTGGCACATGATATTCCAAGGTCTCTTCTCATTGATGGTAGAAGCTTCCAGGTCTTGTGTGGGCCTAGCTATGGTTCCTCGGTGCTTCAATTGTTTCTTTCTGGCTGCTTGTTTATTTTTCTTCTTTGATGTGGAAGTTGTGGATTTTGGCTATGGCATTATTGAGACTTTTTCTTTTGGAGTTTTTTTTGGGAAGTTGTCAATGGATTCTCCCACCCCTACCCCTAATTTTAATTTCTCCTGTGGTTCTCATAAATTTGTGCAGGTTTCTGTGATTTCTTGAACCACAGTGTCCAGACTTTTAAAAAATCATGGTTCTCATAATGTCCATCATTTTCCAGATCAGTTGATTTTTATGTCAGATATCTTATTTTCTTCTTTTTTTTACTCTTTTGATTTTGGTCTAATATTTCTTGCCATGACTTGGAGTCATTGATTTATATTTGACCTATTTTAATTTTCAGTCTTTTACTTGGGTAATGTTTATCATTTTTGTATTCTAATATAATTTTCTTCTAGAGGTTTAATTTAATTTTTTGATAGCTTGCCTCACTTGTTCTAGGTATTTGTGTAGTCCTTGTGGAACATCTATTTCATCCTTTGAGTCTCAGGCTGCAGCTGTGTGGAGTAACTTCATCCTTTTCAGGCTGAATTTTGAAGATCCCTAGATCTTGCAAATATATACTGCTCAGTATCTTTTTCGACTTGGTGCCAGAGTACCCTGCCATGCTTTTGGGTGGGAGGTTGGTCTTACTTGGTCTCAGCTAGGGTCTTGTGGTTTCCTGAGCTGGCCCCCTGGTCTTTGAGCTTCATAGTGCTGAAGGGCTTTAGGGCCCTTTGTGGTGTCCCATATCCCGCATATTTCAAGGGCCAGAGACCTTGAAATATGTGAGATTTCCTGGTCTGAATGTTACATGCCACATTGGTTGCTCATGCTCTTGAGGCTTCCAAGGTTTTCTCCTATGGATTTCCAACCTCCCTGGTGATTTCTGACCATCCCAAGGCTCTCTTGGGGGAGCCTTTTTCTTTTTCAAGCTGCATGAGTCTTTGGCCTGGCTCTAGTCATGCTAGGAGATTGCCAGCTAGTTTGTCTGCACTGGCTTTGTTGGCAGTAGTTTTTCCTATTGTTTCTGCATTTCTGGGGTAGAAGTCACTTACTGTAATTACTCGTTGGTTGTTTCGATTGTTCTTCAGCCTGATGCTGATGACAAGTCTTTGCTGAAATAGGTTTGTGGGAGGTGGGCATTCTGCCTTTATTCAGACAACGACCTTGGCTGGAAGTCTTCCTAGGGTTTTGTCCAGGGTATCCACCACCCTTGGAATGTTCTTCCTCTTTATTTCTGCCTTGTGTAAAATCCTGCTCCCTCCAAGTCTCAGCTTGAATGCTGACTCCTTCAAGGGGCCTTTCCTGATTCTTCTAGTTGTTAGCCTCATCCCCAATAATTTTACATTTATTTTGTGTATATCTTGTTTTGACAGAACTTGTCTATACATGTGCTAATTGATTGATAGAAATAAAAACCAATTCATGCTTGTCTTTTGCTTCCTCCTAGGGGAAAAGGTTTGTGTGAGCTTGTATGGAGCTGGTGCAGATATGAATATTAGACTGGACAAGAATTCCTTGATCATTGAGAAGACCTTTATATCTCTGTCCAGTCAGAGAAATATAATCATTCACAACCGAAGTAATATCATTGCACATTTCCAGTGGAAGGTATATGCTACCCAAGAAGAAGAGGATAAAGAAAAAGCTAGGTTTGTAAGAAAAATCCATTTCAATAATGTAATATGAGGGAATGGAAAGTTTGGTCATTTTGGACAATTAACTTACATTTCTTATTCATGAATAATAAGGTTAGAACCAATTCATCAAAGGAGACATTTTAGAATACTCACTAGTTGGTTTGATGAAAGTTTCTTCTTTGGACCTGCTTTTCTAACAACAAGAATCTAGAATAACACATTATCTGTCTTCAGTTGTTACTGATCTTAACAGTCATGGCATCATAGGATTTAGATATGGAAGAAGCCTTAGAGATCTAGTCCATTCCTTCACCCCATTTTACGTATGAGGAAACTGAGGCTCCAGAAAGGAAAATTATTTGCCTGAGATCCCACAGGTAGTAAACAGCAAATTCTAGTGTTGAGTCTTCTCTCTCCAAAACCACTCAATCATGCTGCCCTTCCATTTAATTTAGCCAAAATTTATGGTGTCTCATGCATGCCTGGTGCTAGGATAGGTGCCACAACTTCGGTTTAAGTACGAGACATATTCATTCTTTTAAAAAAAGTTTTGTTGATGCTTATTGGGTTTCATATCATATTAATATCTAGATATACCCCTGCCCCGTCCCCACCTGTACCCCCATACTCTCTCTGTAAAACCTTAGAACAAAGGAACAAAATAATTAAATACAAACACATCTTTTTTCCCCCCTTTTTTCTTTTTTCTTTTTTTACCAAGGCAATTGGGGTTAAGTGACTTGCCCAGGGTCACATAGCTAGTAAGTGTCAAGTGTCTGGTCTGAGATGGGATTTGAATTCAGGTCTTCCTTACTCCAGGGCACTCTATTCACAGCGCCACCTAGCTGCCCCTAACACAACCACATCTTACAGGGCATACAACATTCCATACTAATGAACCTGTCTTGCCTTCCCTACCCCTCCTCCATTGCATTTTCAATTTCTTTTCTAGGGCCAAGATTGCAGACATATTAATTTGTCACTATTATTTCCAAATTAACCTTTGTGTCTTTGTTGTTTTTTCTGTTCCCCAAAAAGCTAATCAGATTTTATACTTATTTTCATAAAAAAAATGATTGAGACAATGATCAGTTAAGAAATATTCAATGATTGAATATTTCAAGATCCTAGAAATTTGTTGCTTTCATCTATCAAGCTACAGTACCATATCTCTCCTTCACTAGACTTAAAACTATCATCCTACATGTCTCTTCTTCTTTTTAACCCAAATTCCTCAAAAAAGCTGTCTTTACCTGCTGTCTCCACTTCTCCTGACATGCCATTCTCAACCCCTTGCAATCTGGCTTCTGACATCACTCAGCTAAAACTTTTCTATCCCAAGTCAATGCTCTCTTAATTGCCAGACCTGATAGCAGTTTCTCAGTCTTCATCCTTCTCAACCTATCTGTTGTGTTTGACACTGTTAACCACCATCTCTCTTCCTGAGAACTCTCTCCACTTTGGGTTTTTGTGACACTACATTCTCCTAGTTCTTCTCTGTCTGACCACATCTTCTCAGTCACCTTTGCTAGCTCATATGACTCTGTCTTAAACCTCTTCTCTTTTCCTTTGACACACATGCCATTTTTTTGGCATTTATCCTCTATTGCCTGTTCTTACTTCCATCTATATGTCTTTTTAAAGTACAAGTTGACTGGTAAGTTTCATGTGCATCACTAAAAATCTTCTTTTCCTCCTTATTAGAGTTTTTCTTTAGGCCATTGGAATTCCATCCTGTGAGCTTCCCATCCTTCCTTGTTAGCTCCCTCACACTGTTTTAGAATGTAGGATTCTACCTGTCCTTGCTCTGATTCCTTTGAAATCTGCTTTCCCAAAATCTAGGATGCACAGCATACTATGCCTGTTCTAAATGAATGATATCTGTATAATGTATTTAGGGTTATAACTACTACAAGCAAAATTTCATCATATAAATTGTGCCATTTTCAATGAGTAGTCTCTCACACTGACACAAGTTCTTTGCTTCCAGTTGAGTGGAATTTTTCTCTATTCTGAATTCCAAGATAAATTGTACCTTATTTATAAGTTTCCCACAATTTCCATCCCAGCAAGTAGCTCTTTCCTTTTGGTGAGAATCAGATATAGAATAGAATTTCTCTTTTTTTGTTGCTTCCCTTTTGAGGTATGAAGTAATCATTAAGGCAAGTTAAGAGAGTATTAGCAGCTCTGCCTTTGGAGGTGATAGCAGTCCAACAGATGTCTGCATAACTGAAGTTCCTCATCACTACTATCCCATTCTTCCGTGGCAGTCTAGTGATTGATTATACAATATCCTCTTTTGTTTCTTTTTTCTGTCCAAATGGTCTACAGTATACTGTAATGACAATATCATTTTGACTTCTGTTTGTCCCCATTGATCTTCACTCAAGTGCTCTCCACCATGCTTTGCAGCTTTGGTACCTAGATTTCCTCACATGACCATACTTTCTCAATAAGCCAAGACTACCCTAACCTCCTTTACTTTTGTTTTCTTTTTTTAAGTATACTCATCTGGAGCATATTCTAGTCATGGATCTTATATCACTAATCTTCAGTAATACCTGTGAAGTCAAATCTGCCTTATTTTGTGCATTTTTGTATAGACAACCAAGGCCGTGCATTTTATACTAGCTTCTTTCTTGGATTTATTTCCTGTGAAATTTTAAGTGTCCATTGCTACTTTTTGTTGCACAGGTATTTTTTCTTTGACACAGGCATAGTCTTATGTGTACCCTAGATTTTGGAAGAATGGATTACAAAGGAATCAGAGCAAGGATAGGTAGGGTTGTGTGGCCTGACACATTATAGGGGACATGAGTCCAGAAATGAAGAAAAGCTCACAAGTACTGTGTTACCTAGCTTGGCAGATACACATTGGTAGTTTCCCCCTCTCCTTGTCTCCCTTCCTTTTCAGTTTAAATCTCTTTTGATTTTGTACAGTTTCAAAGAAAATTGTCTCTCATAGAAAGAAAAAGTATGTTCTTAGCCTCTATTGAGAATTCCATCCCTGTCCAGAAGCCTGTCATTCCTATAGTTTAAGCTATGTTCCAGAAATCCATATCTCATTTTCAGATACAATCTTCTTAACAAGTTGTTCACTTTCCAAATCTGCCTTTCTCTTGAACCTAATAAATTTTAATAGATACATGTATTTCAATATACAAAGAACAAGAAAGAAGATTTTATAAAAAACTGTAAACTTCAGTTATATGCTTTTAAAAGGAAATATAGACACAAATGTAAAAACATTTAACAAAATAGTAAAAAATTGCTCTATTTGTGTCCATTTTTATACTTTCTACTGTCTTCTGTGCAATTAAAACATTTTATTGAAGCTTTTGTTGCATATTTATCACTAAACCACCTCCCCAAATAGAAACCTTCTCTTGTAATAAATATGTATAGTCAAGCAAAAAAAATTAACATGATGGGCCTGAGAATGCATTATTATGTCCCTGTAGTGCACTAAATTTCTATTTTATTAGTCTGGATTTTTTATGTTTTTGGAAACATTCATCCATTTCATTTGAATTACCAGTTTTGTTGACCTGTGATTGAGTAAAATAATTTCTAACAATTTCCTTTACAAGTGTTGCGCATTTCGGGGGATTTGGGTAATTTGGTTTTCCTCTCTTTTTAAAAAATATCGAATTAACAGTTTTGTTTAATTAGTATTTTTAAAAAAAATAACTCCTGGTTTCACTCACCAATTCATTGTTTTTTGTTTTTGTTTATCTCTGCTGTGTTGGAATTTTGTATGTGTGTGTATGTGTTTTTATTTATTGCTTTACTAGTTTTTTTTTCATTGATATGTCTTTCTTTTGATAATAAATGTGTATAGGGATATAAGTGTTCCATTTGAAACTGCTTTCAGTCAATCAGTTGATAAACAAGCATTCTTTAAAATGCCTTTTATGTACCAGACACTGTGCTAACTCCTGGCGATAGAAGTTAAGGCATTCTTACCCTCAAAGAATTTGCATTCTATTAGTGGAGACATGTAACACATGTAGGTAAATTCAAAACAGATGCAAGGTGATTGGAGGGATCAGGAAAGAATTTATGTAGAAGATGATGCCTGATCTCAATCTTGAAGGTTACTAGGAATTCCAAGAAAGGAAGGTAAAGGAATACATTTCAAGAAAGAGAAAAGGGCATGGAAGTGGGAAATAGAGTACTATGCATTAGCATCAGTAAGAAGGCCAATGGACTGGCTCTTCATTTCTTTTGTTGTGAACTTGGGTCTAATAAGAACCACATTTTTCATTACCCTTTAGATTATCAGCCGTAAAAGGAACTTTATCGATGGACTTATTGTTGCTGGAATCAGATGAAGAATACTCTTTCTCTGTCCCACACATTACAATTGCAGCAATTATACCGTTAAATTCACAAACTAAAAGTTTACCAATGGATGAGTTGTGTGAGATATTTCTTATGAGTTCTAAAACATGTTCATAGAAGTCTCTCAGACATTTTATCAGTAATGTTTTAGTACTGATGCTATATTATTATAGCACCAAACTATAAATTCTGAAAATCTGAAAAACCATACAAATAAAAAATAAATTAGTAAAATAGTGGAAACTACAGGCAAAGATAATTTTTTTATTTTTCTCTATGAATACATTATTCTCAAAGTTTTATGCATTTTTGATGGATTTTTCTAACACTCCAAAGAGAACATACTAATATGGGCAAAAAAATAACCCAAAAGAAATAAATGTGGAGCATTCCCTTTTATTTACAACATAAAGTCATGACTTTTTCTATCTTTATTATCCATGTTCCTTAGTATCTTAAGGACTTTTCATATAGTGAAAAGAAGGATATGTGTGGTCTTATTAAATGTGTCAAATGATTAATATGCTTAAATACATTAAACCTTTATAGTTTATACTTTTGTTATAAATTAAAGGTGATTTTCAAGTGTCTTAATTTTTTTTCCCATTAATTGATACACTTGGTCCTCCTAGTTTAACTCCATATAAATATTTGTGTTTCAAGTGTGT